CGGGACCTCGCTCCGCTCGTTCCGCAAATATTTACTCGTTACACAAAATAAGGCATTTCGTAACTGGTTACATAAATAGCTATTAATTGACTTCCTAATATTTTAATTCATTAAACGGTATTTTCCGTAAATAATTAAATCATAAATAATTACCGGCATATAGGGGGGGTGGGTTGGCTCAGTGGTTAGAGTCATGACTTTGAGATCGGAAGGTCTCAGGTTCGAATCCCACCGTTGGCCGGAATTTTTTCATTTAATTTAATTATTTAAAATTAATTCTGATGCCTTGGTAGGATTCCCCACTCGACCATTCACTGTTGGGTTCTAATTAACAGTGCTGTTTCTAAAGTGGCGCTGGGAAACAATAACAAAGCCTACACATAACACGAGGCGAAATAACCTTAGCAGTTGAAGCCGATGACACACCAAAAAAAAAATATATTGTATATTAATAAAGTGTTATTGCCCTCATCATAAATGAATCGTGCTAACAAATAAAGTCAAAAAAACGTCTCATAATTTTTCATCTTTTAGTTACCTACCAAAATTAGATACTACAATACAAATATTTAAGTCCGGCCCAGAACATCTCCCTACTCCTTCCACCCAGTTTTTCGGTTTTGGCAAAATTTGCGCAGCGACAAATGCTTCTTATGTTACCTCTACCCTTTCTAACCTCTTTGGTTAGGAAGGAGCATGCCATGTCCGCGTTAATCTAATCCATCTGACGGAAGTGGTAGCCTTATTGTACTATGGATGACTCATTATCATATGATAAATGATTTCTAAAAATGGTTTATAATTTTAGTGATTAAAATTTGTTAATAATTTGGATGTTTTATGTGTTAATTTTTATTAAGCGTATGTTTTGTAGACATTTTTAAAAAGTGTTTAGTGTTTCAGTATTTATTTAGTATTACGGTTAATTTGAAATTTTCCGCGTTAAAAGACAATCAAGACAATATGGTCAGTTGTTCGTCTTGTGGATATAGCAGCACAGCTAAAAGTAGAAGGAATAATCTACATTTCATAAGCAAGTATTTTGTTCTCTCAATTTTCAACCACTTTAAAGATTTTTAAAATTTTTAATGTTTTAAATTTGTAAACAAACATGGTAAGTGCATCTGCGATCAACTGTGCTCATAGGCGTAGTCTCATGGTTTATAGGGTATACATACTTTTATTTAAACAATTCTTTTATGCAATTTTAAGATATTTATGTGGTTGTTAAAATGAATAATTTATTTCAAACAATTTTCAGATTTCTTAAAGATTCTAGATTTACAAATTATATAAATTAATTCCAGGTAAACAATTTTCAGATTTCCTAAAGATTCTCAAAAAAACAACGTTATGACTTGAGTTCATGCAACAAACAAATTGTGAGCCAAAATATCTTAATTTTTTGTGTTCACGCCATTTTATAGCACATTATTTTGATCTAACCTCAAAACCAAGAATAAGAGTTCTATAAACACCTGTTCCAACAATAAAAGTGGTCCGGTTGAAGTATATAAGTAAATAAATTATTTACTAACTATATCATGTGCCGTTTTTTTCGTATAATAGAAGTTTATTTTATGAATGTGATGCACCCTATTTAATTTATTACAAAGTTATTTACAAAAACGAACTCAAATAGAATTAATAATATCTCAAGTAAGGAAATAAGTAGCATATCGCATGCCTCAAGATACTGTCTTAGGTCCTATCTTGTTTAATTTTATTTTATAGAAACAGATCTTCGAATGGTTTAATTATAAAAACTTACAAACCTTTGATAAAACTTATGTTGCTACATTATACAGTTACAAAAAGATGGCCTCTTCCTACAGAAACAATAAAAGGTAACGTTCAGTAGTTTTATATAAATATTACAAATGATATCAAATACCTTAGAGTACAAATTGACTCTCATCATAACTGGACTAAGCATACAAATAATGTGTTGAATATAAATTTAAAAATAATCTATTTTGCTCTCATAGAATCATTATTACGTTATAGAATCCTTTCTTGGAATGGTGTTTTACCAGCTTATGCAAAATTGTCCTGCAAAAAATATTACTAATAATACTATGTAATAAAATGATCAGAAATTCTCTTCGATTTTAGGAAGTTTTATATGTACTCCAACGAAAACATCTAAGAAAGAAATATCACAGCGGTGTTTGACCTAAATGTAAATATAAGATATTTAATTTTTTTTAACGCATATCTACAAAACATTTTTCAACCTTAATAATTTGTAAAATGTAGATTAATAAAGACATTGTCATAATAAAGACGTAAAAAAGTCAATACTTGTTTTTAATATATTATTGCTTTGATTTTTGAAATGAAATCCCTCTATAAATTATCCCAAAAATATTTTCCTATATTTATCCCACCTAACTTGCAATTTTAAAGTAAAATTTATTCACATAATGAAGGTTAATAAAAAAAAAATGCAAACTTCTCGCAAGAAAATAGCAATTTGTTAAAATGAGAGAAATCGGTAAATTTAGATATGCAAATGACCAGAAACAATTGTCGCCATATTCGTCTAGTTCACTGACAAAATTAGATACCATCGCGATTCCAAGGTCGTTTAAGCTTCCTCCTTCCTGACTATATATGTATATTCTAAGCTTTTGCCAGTTCTCCCACTTTTTTTTAATTTATTGGCCTACATAGCTAGGATGATACAGCCATTTTGTAACAACAGGTAAATAATTACAATATTTTACAGCTTAATTTTTGACATTTGTATAAATTTTGATATTTTTGTAACATTACCGAAAGACAGAAGCTTAAAAAATATATCAAAAAGTGTAACAGGAACTGTAAAATTTGTTGGGATATCTAAACTCTCTAAAAATGTATAAATATTATGAAAACTATTTTGACAATTAAATAAAATATGCTGTAAATCCTCCCGTTTTCCACACGTACGCCTATCATTTTCTTTTGTATCAATTTTCTTGAGATGCACCATACTCAAACAATGATCGCTTCTTAATATGCAAATGATACTAATATCCCTTCTATTCAAATGTTTTATTGTTCCAAACCACGGTCTCTTTAATGGAATTTGAATCACATCTCCATATAGTCTACCTTTAACTTGGCATATAACTTTATATTCCTTCTCCCATTTAAAAAAATCTGATGTGTCCAACACATGACTTTCCTATCTAGTTATTATAGGCTTTTTCCGGTTATTTTTTACAACCTATTGGAGCACCTCTATAAATGTTTAGACGATAAACTAAATATATACATTTTCCACATACATCTACCTCGAAACATTTTTCCATAGATATTCATTGAAAACGAAAATACTGAAAAATTTAAATTTAGCACTTTCCCTACAATTTTTCCATTACGGTCCATTTTAGAAAAATCATGTATAAACAAAAATTATAGAGATCGATATCACAAACAACTTTTAGTCCAACAATTTTCTTAATTTTGCACATTTTGTCAAATTTCTCGAATACGGACCATTTCAGGAAATTTTGACATAAAGCAAAAATTATAGATAATAATATTAGAAGTAACTTTTATTTGAACAATTTTCTTCTTCAAACATAAATAAAAGGCCGAAATAAAACGTGTTTAAAATTAAATGTTTTTTTCTTTATCCGTTTTTGAGTTTTCTTCAAAATTCGAAATTTACACATTTTCTCAAATATCTCGAATACGGTCCATTTTAGAGAAATTATGTATAGGATAAAAATTATAGGTAATAATATTAAAAGTAACTTTTATTTAAAGAATTTTCTTGTCCAAACGTAAATAACAGATATATTCCATAAAATATAAAAATGACCACCCATAAAGTACCCCCCAGATGTTTCGACTCTGCCCAAAATCTAATGTGTCATTTAATGCCGGAAAAAAGCTTCAGTTTAAAATGTGGTGTTTTTCTTTGTATTGTTTCATGAGTTATGGTGGATACAGACACATACACACATAAGCACACACACACACACATGCACACGCACACACACGCACACACGCACGCACACACACACGCACGCACACACGCACGCACACCCACACACACACACACACACACACACACACACGCACACACGCACGCACACACGCACGCACACACACACCCATACACACACAAAACACACACACACGCACACACGCACACGCACGCACCCACGCACACACACACACACACACACACACATACACACACACACACACACACACACACACACACACACACACACACACACAGAGAGAGAGAGAGAGAGAGAGAGAGAGAGAGAGAGAGAGAGAGAGAGAGACAGACAGACACTATCGCGAAAATAGTCAAAACGGATTCAGGGGACCTCAAAACGTAAAAATCCGTCGAAAACTCGAGGTCAAAAATATCATGATTCCTATACTTTCCTTATATCTGTATACAGATAGGAAAGTAAAAAGGCAAGAGTTCACTATAATGCACTTCATACACAGGATTTGACTGTTTTGACGTGGAGCTAACCGAAATGAACGCGAAACATTGACGTAGAAATTTTTTTTATTCATGCTAATAAAAATGTCACTTAAATAGTTTAATAAATTGTGAATAGCTAAATAGCTGTTGAAATTTTGTAGAATTATGATTTGGGATATTATTACTTTTTTAAATAATTATTTGTAGCGCATATATAGATACGTTTGCCAGATTCCGCCGATAATAATTTAAAATGTTTGGTATTGTTGTTATTCTATGAGACGACTATGGCGAAAAAAACATTACCACGAAATTTTTGAAGTCGTCCGACGGGGTTTAACATTTACCACCTCTCTACCTACCAAAAGCTTTTACAACTTCTGTCACTGCTATACCTATGCTATAATTGAATTCTGTAATAAGAGGCAATAATAGAAGAATGCTGTCATCTGTCATTACACCACAGCTCGGCGAAATTCTTGGATGTTACGGGCTAATAGAATTTTTTTCAAAGGCACATAATTTTCGTTTTTATATACGTTATAATTTTTTGTTGCAGATATATTTCGGAATATGGGTAACAGTATGCGTAACGGCGTCATGGGTTGGAGCAACGCATTGCATCAAATACCTTTACTTAAGACGGCCGAAGGACACAGATGTCGATGCAGAACCTGTATTGATCCCACATGACACTACCGGAATTAATATGACCTTAGTACAAACCATATACGTAAGTGTTTCACTATACTTGTATCTTGCATGTATTAATAATAGCTAACCAGTGACGAAATGTCTTGTTCTACGTAACGAGTGAATCTTTCCAAGACAAGCAGAGCGAGGTCCCGCAAAATAAACGATTTACACACAACGGCATTTCGAAACGTGTTACATACAGTTTTATTTCTAATTATGACTAAATTATTTATAATATTGAGTTTGATAAAATGATAGTTGAATCGGTCATTTGAGAAACGACACGTGTCACATTTTTGGCCATTTTGTTTTTATTACAAAAATACAATATTTAAAGGTAAATTATAATTATTATATTATACCCAAAATAGAGCAAGTTTTAAACTATTTTTTGTCCATGTTTTGAGATTTTCACTTTTTCTTATTTTTTCAAAAATGATCTAAAACTGACTGACATGTGCTGTTTCTCAAATGACCGATTCAGTTTACGTTATAAGCCCGTTACCTAGATCTTTACATGCGAGCACGGTCGTTAATGTACGAGCGCTAGCAAACACTTCGTATGATATAATGCAATTTACTACGTTTTACTAGCGACAATCCAATAAAATTTTTGTCATTTTTCACCATCATTACAAGTTAGCGAATGTGACTTAAAATAATGACAGTTCAGTTACAACTGACAGTTCAGCCTTAACTGTTGTTAAATTTTGTAGTGGATTAGCCCGTTATGACTCCCACGGTATAACATTGCAGTATATCATAAAATTACTAACGTCTATGCAACCAATATTACTTTCTTCTATTTTTAGTTGCATAAATTTATTAATTTCATTGATAAATAAAAAATCATATAATTAATTTTGTATTTTCCTATCTTCCAGTCAGGGGCGTGCCAAATTTCTTGGAGCCCACTCGCAAGATTTTTCTTGGGGCCCCTACGCAGACTAAAAAATAAGTAAACAAAACAATGTCATAAAAAATGTATTAAAGACAATACCATAAAATATGGCTCGTTGCTCCAAAGGTAGAATCGAGACATTTTAAATCCGGTGACCTGCATCAAAAACGAGGGTAAAATTTTGCCTAATTAGAATTGAAAATAGTATTAACAACTTTACCACTGGTCTTTTACTATAGACATAAAAAATAGGTACCTCAAAGGCTATTCCAATCCACGTTTGCTACGAAATGGACTAGACAACTATCATGTTGTAAAAACATTGTTCTGCTGGTTTCCAACGACACACTTTGTAAAAGAAGTAGTAATTGTTCAAAAAATTGAAATATACTCGAAATACTGTTGTTTGAGCGTCTAAATCTCTCAAAATTACTTGAACGTTTAGCTTGGGAACTCTATGTACGCTAAAACATTGATGACATTTTCCTCAGTTCTTCAGGTACCCCGTCTGCGGTGTAAAGGGCGAAGAACACTTTCCGTGGTTCGAAATCGGTTTGCTAAACAAGTAAACATTCTGCTGCCGTACCGGCTTCTTTGAAGATATCTCAACTTGTAGTTACAGCCTTGCAACTATAGTGGCATTTTGCAGATATTAGCAACCGCCTCTTCAAGAAAGTAAGGCATTAAAAAAAAAACAATACATTAAAACAGCGAGTGCGACAAAATAATGTTCTGACGTGAAAATTGTTGAATTTTTGACATTACAAGATTTTTTGTTTGCAAATCTACACGCTCAATGGATAATTATAAGTAATAATTATCCATTATTAGCTTATATCGTTCGATTTTTTAAAATAGGTAATATCATGGTTGGGCATTAGGTTTTGCAGAAATTTATAAATTGGAGATATACCTTAAAAAATCGACCTAGTTGAAAATGATGGGTCATTAAATGTGTTACGTCTCTACGTTTTATTTAAATTTTTGCTAAAATCTGCGGTTTGAAAAGGGATATCCAAATGCGGTTTTCACCAAAGTTTTGGGTAATTTTTATCGAACTATGTAAAAAGGTATAGATCGTTGTATTTAAATTTTTCGAAAATGTTCGTAAAATATATTACATAATGCCCTCTAGTGGCGTTTGTAAAATGTACACAGCCACAATTTATACAGCTAAACATGAGGCTGAAAAGGCTCTTCTAAACGAAATCAAGCTCTCTAAATTCGGTAAAGCCAAACCGGAGTTATGAGCATTTTTCCAAATTAAAGTTTAACCTTCCCCCCACTCCTCTATTTTACAACTAGCAAAAATTACATTAAAAGCTTTTTTGTTTAGAAATCATAGAAGATTAAAATAGTATTTATCAGTAAACTTTACTTGGTACTTTTTTGAGAAAATTACATTTTTATGTTTTGACCTCACAATTACGCCCTCTGGCGGCCATCCTACAAACTTGAAAATAATTTATTGACTTAATAATACTTTCCGTCTCTTGACCGTTTTTATTAAGAATATTTTCCCCAATGCTGTACTATTATAAGTTTCTGAAATATAGCCGGTTACTTCTCTTAATGGAACACACGGTACATTCGAATTATTGTAATTTCGGCCGGGATCACTATTTATTGAGACCGTGTGCGATAACATAAGTTATACAATATACGTAGGGCAATACAAAAAATAACCTCTATTAACGGAATTAAACTTCAAAACCAGGATAAATATGAATCATCAAAAATATAATTATCAAAACAAACTTCTAAAAAAGGTCTTTAGAAAAACATACCACAAATTCGTTGGGCCAAAATAAGCCGATTTAAATAAATTTACCTCATTACAAAGTTGCTCAGTTTGATAGCAAGAGAGCCTTGAAGTTTCAATTTTTAAATCGTTTCTCCTTTATAATTTAAAAAAAGGCTTGTGTGATTTTGCTTAAATTTACTACGTTGGCAGAGTTTTATGTGACACAAAAAAGAATCAAAATTATTTACCAATATTAATCCATAGGCGTAGAACTTGATTTTTTATTACTCGCACATTTAAAATTTCTACGCCAATGGAAGAAAAGGGAGTTCAGTATGAAATTTTGACTACTTAACGCATTTATTACAACAAAGGTACGCTTGATAAAACTCCATTATTCTCATGGTTTTCGCTAAATTTGTATTTTAATAATTTGGAGTGTAAGTTTTAGAGAAAAAATTATTTACTAAAACATTAATACAAATAAGAAATATGTCTAGGAACCAAACTGAGCAACTTTGTACTGAGGTAAGTCGGCTTATTTTGGTCCAAGAAATATGTGATATAATAATCTTTGAGGTATATTCTCAGGTTCTCCATTTAACAGAAAAGCAAATTTTACCCTGTTGATACTGATTTTTCTAGAACAATATACAGGTAGTTCTGGTAGCGAAAGCCTTGAACATTTGAAACACAATAAAAAAAATCAACCCACACTGTGAACCCTGCAAATTGCTCTAGTAAATATTTTGGATTCGCCCCTGAGAAGGTTGTTTAAAAATTGACTCCGCTTTATGATTTTTGTACCATGGCACCACAGATAACAGAAATGTAACCATTCATTGATAAAATATAATCACGATGCCAAGATTAATTCGACAATCAATACAATCTATTTGAAGGGAGGCGGCGAGGAGACAAAAGATGAGAAGTAAGAGAAGGGATAAAGAGAAGAATTTTACGCAGATATAACTTTCTTTTAGCAATGAATAAATGTGCGCTGTTGCCACTTCCAACCTAACATGACTAGGTTTTGGAATTTATTGAAAATTATTACATCTAATTTAGTGAAATTACATCTAATTTAGTTTTAAATTTAATATAAAACTAATGATTCAACATTTTTGGGTTTAGTTGCAATAAAATACGTTGAATTATTTTAGCTTTATCAATATATGTAAATAATTTTGTAAACAAAACGAGAATAATGAAATAGGCATATGACAACAGCGGATATTATACCCTTCTGTGTCCCTTAGAATATGTCTTATTTAGGACCGCACGATATTTGTTAGTAGTTACATCTACTGTTATCTCTGCATGGCACTCAAAAAAATGTATCCAACGATCCATTTTAATGCTTTTTTAATTCCGTTTTACATAATCAGCTTCATTGTGATCCCACGCAGAGCTGAAAAAATTTACATTTATCCTTGAAAAGAATCGCGAATTGGTCTATGCCAAACATTTTTGTTCATCCATTTTTCAGGGCATCCTAAAAGCTTTTCCCGTTTTCTCAATTTTTCAGTTATTATGCTATTCCCGCTCCGGCATTCCTTTTATTTACAATAAACCTTTGGAGTATTCTTGTTAAATTAGGGCGCCTTCAAAACCGGAAAGTTTTATATGAAACTGTATAGAATGCTAAATGAAAATAATCTTTTTCGTGTGGTATACTTTTTATATATCTTTGTGAATATTGTTTTATTATATGTTAGGTTCTAGTAAAGGAGGTTATAAATAAAACAGGGATATTGTTTTTTAACAAATTTTAAACCGACTTCACATATTATGGGCCTGAATAGATTAAGATTTCTAGCTCTAGGCTCGCCAAAAGCATGTAATTATATTTTATTCAGTTTATTTTTAAATCCAGGGTGGCTATGGAAATTGTACGGTATTTCAAATAAAAATATCCCAATTTATTCTATTTAATATCTTACATGTATCGAAATAAGTATAAAAAGCTTGAAATATATGAATCCATTAAATGTCAATCTTCGCCTACTTTTCCAATTTTTCATTTGTTATCTCCATTCTTTTGACATATACTCTAGCTCCATTGTAATAATTCTTCTTAAGTACCTATCTAACATTTTTTCCCTTTTCATCTAAAATGTCCTTTATAAGTAAATAAGGGTACTTAGGTAATTTATTTACTTTAAATAGTTAGTTTATTTTGTAATGTTATTGATGTTTTTCTTAAGTACTTTGTTTTGTTAAATTATTTCGTATATATATTGGATACCGAATTGTAAATTAGTCAATTTGAAAAAGAAGTTGTACTTCGAAACATATGTCATGTTAGTGTTTTTAAAAATTTTTATATTTTTAAAATAAAAGTGTGAAAATCTACCAAATTTGGTTTTACTCTTTCAAGATTAAATGGATT